TGGTGCATATAATCGCCAAGACTGATTTGATCAAGTACATGCTCACTCGACCAATCATTAGAGGGCGGATTGGAAAATGGACGATGGCATTGGCAGAATTTACCTTCCGATACGTGCCTCAGCAGGCCGTCAAGGGGCAAGCGTTGGCTGATTTCTTGGCCTCCCACCCTTGTGTTGAAATAGAAGACATGGACTTCTTCAAAGTCGACATGATAAGTTTATTCCCATGGCGTCTCTATTTCGACGGATCTCGAACATCAAATATGGGGGGAGCAGGTGTCATCATTGAATCACCCCAAGGATTCCGAACTCGTTATTCATTTCAATTAGACTTTGATTGTACCAACAATCAGGCCGAATATGAGGCCTTGATCATTGGGTTGGAGATTTTGAGAGAACTTGGAATAAATAATGTGTCAATCATGGGGGATTCGATGTTGGTTCTGAAACAACTATCCGGCGACTATAAGGTAACTAGCCAAGCATTGCTCGGCTATCATGCCTTGACTAGCCAACTAATAGAAGGTTTTGATGAGGTGAGACTCGCTCACCTACCAAGGGAGCACAACTCACAGGGCAATGCAATGGCCCAATTGGCCTCTGGAGTCCAGATCTCTGAAGGTCTTTCTGAGGAGTTATTCAAAGTTGAAAAACGATCGTTGCCCTCAGTTTTTGAAAGAGGAATACCAATGGAGGTCATGGCATTGGCTATTGCTCCAGATGACAGGAGACACGACATCGTGGAGTATCTGAAATGTCCAAGTGGTCCGCATTTCCGGCAGGTTCGACAAAGGGCCATAAACTATGTGCTCAGGGATGAAGAGCTTTTTCGTATTGGCTCTGACGACTTACTCATGAAATGTCTGGGAAAAATTGATCAGATGGTGGTTATGACTGAGGTTCATGAAGGAATATGCGGAGCTCATCAAGCAGGCATCAAGATGAGATGGTTGCTAAGGAGGCATGGGTATTATTGGCCAACCATCTTGAAGGATTGCATTGATTATGCCAAAGGATGCCAAGGTTGTCAAAGGCATGGTCCAGTTCAGCATGTTCCAGCCGGACTCATGAATCCTATTGTGAAGGCTTGGCCTTTCAAGGGTTGGGCGATGGATGTGATTGGCCAGATCTACCCGAAATCATCTAAGGGTCACAAGTTCATTAGTGGCCACAGACTTCTTTACAAAATGAGTAGAGGCCGTACCACTCAAGCAAGTTACCCAAGCTGAGGTGATAGAGTTTATTGAGAAATCTATCATTCATCAATTCGGATTACCAAAGTCTATCATGACTGACCGATGAACGGCTTTTGTGGGAGAGGCTGTCAAGGCAGCCGCAAAAATTGGGGAGTTAGGATGGTTCAGTCTACCCCATACAATCCTCAATCAAATGGTCAAGCTAAGGCCAGCAACAAGGTGATAAAAGGTTTCCTTTCGGAAATTGAAAGG